ATCATCTTAGTAGATAGAATTACATTGCAATACCGTTGAAAGTAGAAAATAAACTTTCGTTCCAAAGTGAGATTTGTACCCTCTTGTCAATTTCTTCAATAATTTCCATTTGGCGAGGAAGAAGCTTCCACATCACAGGTTGTGACCATTTCTCAAGTGCTTCAGGAAGGACAGTGTGATTGGTATAAGCAACAGTCCTGATCCAGTTGTCAACATATTCCCAATTTAGCTTTTAATTCCAAAATACAATAGCGCAAGGATCTCAGTCTCTTGGAATACATCTATATATTTCTTACACCTTGTAGTTATATCCCATGCTTCATCCCATCCAAGACCTTCATTGTCCATTAGTAATCGCATCAGTTCAGGAATTGCGAGGGTTGGATGAGTATCATTCAGTTGCACTGCAACTTTGCTTGGAAACTCAGACCAATGCCATGAATCTTTCCCTTGCTTCCTCTCCTTAAATCTTGAAATTATGTCCTGCAATTGATTTGAATATCGTTGTTAGAAGAGGAGGAAAAAACCATAGAGCGGGTAGCAAACAGACGCGCATAAATATTGAAAACATAGAGATATAATTGCCGAATCTCAAACAATTACTAGCAAAAGGCACCTAGATTTGCAGGAACTTTCAGCCTAGCAGACATAATAGTTGCATTGCATAACCAGATCAAAACTTTCATCGTCAGATTATATCAGATTATAGGATATACCAGCATATGATCCATGCGTTTGTTATCACTACATATGCAACAAACACAACAGCTTTGCTCTTCTCATGACATAAACTACCAATATATTCTTACCCCTTGCAAGTTCATTACCAGCTATAGCACCATGAGCTAAAATCCACACCATTGAAACCCACTAATGATCCATTTGGGATTAATTTTCTACAACTTTTTTCCTTTCAATAATTTTAAACTAATCTATGTGTTTGGTGTATATGATTACAAGCCAATTACTTCATATGCACTTTTAACTTGGTATTAATTTCGAGAAGCACTTCAAGTGCTACTTTTAAATATGGTTGGATGGATATAATCAGCTGCTTTATTTATAGAACATTCATACTTCCATTAAATATTAAAATAATATTTTTAATAGTTGCATAGCGAATCACATTTAATTTTTTCCATAGCACAGTTGTAAACTTGTAAGCAAATCGAACCAAACTACCTTAAATATGCTTTTGTTCATACTACATCAATTACATAAAAGAGGCATATACCAAGATAGATTTTCTGAACCATTTTAAGATTCTCAATGTGCTTTCAAAGTGAAGTGAGAGATATCCCAGGCCAACATGAGACTAGACATTTCCATCATGAAAAATAAGAAAACGAAAAACAATCCCTCAACCTGAAGTGACGCACTGCAAAGGAAAAACTGTTGTTTTAGTCGCAAGAGTTTCCCATTCTCTGTGGCATCTCCAGGATATAGAACGGCACATATCTGCAAATGCATAACAAGGTACAGTAAAATGTCCCTTTAGATAGAAGAGATAGAAAAATGTACTAATAAAACACAGTTGTTGATTGTGAGTTAATTTCATGAACTGCCTTTTAAGTAAGATAATTAATAACAAACCTGTTGAGCTCTAGAGTGAAGCTGTGCAGCAGATTCATACTGTCCATCATTGAACTGAAAAAGGTCAAAATCATCTGCACGTGCTTTTGCTTCCCACAAGCGAAGACTAATTGTATTCTTGGTTTTGTATCCTGGAATTGGTACATCATAGGCTAGAGCTTGTACAATCTCTCCTCCAATCCATCTTCGGCTGTTATGCATGCAATTTACAACTTTCACCAAGCCAAGAGTCATGCCCAAAGCAGTAAATTAACTTCATAAAGTAAGATGAGCAATTCTGGCTTACTTCATGGCCCTCAAAAATTTATAATGTCTTACCAAAATGGACTAGTTGAGGCAAATAGTTCAGTCAACACAGAAAACTTACGATCCATCAGGCTTGACCTCCACATGACCAAAGAATCTGACAGGGAATACAATATCATGTCTGACAACTTCCCAAGGACTAAACTTCTGCACAATTTCCACAAATACAAGTGTCAAAAGATGTCTGAAGTAGAAATATATTAATTAAATATTTTCTCAAATGAGAACTGAACCTCAAGCCAATCCTCAGCTATTTCCTCCTGGCCATCCTTTGTGATCCGCTGCTTGAAAAGCCCATACCTGTACCTTAAACCATAACCCCATGCAGGCAAATTTAACGTTGCCATAGAATCCAGAAAACATGAAGCCAGCCTTCCAAGTCCACCATTTCCTAGTGCAGCATCTTTCTCCTGTGTAAAGTTTACAATATCAACGTTGTGCATGTTAAAAGATAAAATATAAATAAAGGGTTGCTTGACTAAACTCAAAGGGATAATAGAACAATAAGAAAACTGCAAATTGATGAAATCACACATTCATTATGTGCGGTGCAGATAAAGCAACAAAAATACGAATGCATCTAAACATTTACATATTCTTGTGATCATTGATTCTGAGAGAAGTTGAAGCCACTGTTGAATTATCAGATAATGTACACTTCTCTCGATAATATCAGATAATGTAAACTTATTTATATTCAGGATGTGGACCAACAACCTTTGCTAAAAAAGAAAGGATATGGACCAAAAGTCATGCATGGAATTTTCAGTGTCCTAGATGGGATATTGGTCAAAAACATCGTATGGCTGCCATTTACTGATGGTTGAGAGGATCAGATGAGTAGCATTCACTACTTCTACTTTTCTACTAATAACTGCTTTTTTCCTAGGCCAAAATGTAGAATACTGTCAATAAGAGAAAACAAAAAGGTAACCGCAAAACCTCTCTGCTTGTTGCATTTATATGTTGCGGAAAACAGGCTTCAAATTATGGGAAGAATTTAAATAACCTGCTCAACCAGTTCCTCAAGATCATGTCCTAATTTATTCAAAGCATCAGCATACGCATCCTGAATATTCATATTTCCAATTGCATTGGTCAAAGCTCGGCCCTGAAGATACTCCATTGATAAGTAGTACGTTTGTTTGGGATCAGATTTGTGATAATGAAAGTAGGTCTCGTTCCATTGCTGCAGAGTAAAAGATGAGAAGTAGCACCATTAGCTCAGCCACCATCGATCAAAGTAAGTATAAATTCTTATGTAGAATTAGCAAAAACACAATAGCTCATCATAATATACCCAAACCAAATTTAGGAGACAAGTCAACTCAACGCTACACATTTTCTCTTAAGGAACCATTGCATAAATGAGAATTCGACCAACACTCAGGTTATTAACAATTCGACAGTACACTCTCTGAATACGAGGACTTGAAAAGTTAGAAATCGCACTTGTATAAGCCGATCACGAACACTCTCTGCAGTCGCAAAATATGCTTGCTCAGACTGGAACTTGACGGGAGAAAAATGAGGACTGTAAACTGCATGATAATTGATATTAGACGCAATTTCCTCCGGCTCTTCAGCTAAAGGATGCGCAGCTGTGGGAATTTTCGCAGAAGTGGTAGAAACCACAGCACCGTTAACCGTCTCAGCCGACATACTCGGAGTCAACTAGGAAATCGACCTGAAACAAAACAACAACAATATTGAAGATAAAACACATCACACCTATATACAATCACAAACCTTCAAACCACACATCACTGTAATTTTCAAATAACAAATGCCTCCAAAATTTAAACAGAAAAAACGGCAAGTCGATGAACTAAGCCAAGTACCACCGGAAATCAAAATTGCGAGCCCTAATTAAAATGTACAAACCAACAGTGGCAGTGCACGAGGAGTACTACTCACTTACTGCTTCAACGAGTATCCTCCTCCAATACTGCGCACCGATTTCCACAGAAACTCAAACAAGAATCAGCTTCAGTGATATCCAAACAGAGTGAGGCGGAAACATCAATAAAAAGCAGTAGAAGATATTTTGAGGACAGTAGAATGCGAGCGAATTCGAAGAGCATTGAAAGCAAAACAAACTACAAAAAGTAAAGAGGACAAAGGAAAGATTGGGAGAGACGTATTTGGAGTTTTGTCCAGAAAATATCAGAGAAGTAGAGAGAGACTCACTGAGTGGGAGAAGAGAGTTCTGTAATGGAGGTGACTGAACCATACGTGAAGGTGACGATCACATGGAAATGGATGGATCCAAGAGAGGATGGGAGAAATAGGCGGGCAAGAATCACCGACTCGGGAGATAGATTTTTGTAAGTATTTCATTTTTTATGTAAAAAACCAAAAATAAATAAAAAAGCGCGCTCTCACGGGATGAAGCTGAAAAGTACGTTGACGGTTGAGGGAGAGAGACGAAACCGGTCACTTCGCGGGACTGGGAATCTTTCACTACGGGTCCAGCCGGTTTGCAGGTTAAATCTCCTAAAATTGATGAAAATTTTATTTCAAGGTGTAACAATGGTTCTAAATATCCATCGACACATTCTATCTTCCATGGATTCGATATCGATATGAGGGATGAATCGACATTTTCATGATAGTACGAAAAAATCAACAAAATATGAAAATTATCAATAAAATGTCACTAATATATATATATATAATATTAATATTAATTATTTTTTAACTAATTCAGAGTAATATTCTTATATATACAAAATAAATTGAATCTAAATCTTATTTTAGTTGCCCCATTATTGGCATCTATTACAATATAATTCTTGAACTTTGCATTAAATGTCTCGATATTACATTAATTGGTCAAGTCTCAAATGACATGAGGTGTGAAACAAATGCTCCAAAACTTCTGTTCAATAAAATATGAAAAATAAACCATGAAGACTGGAAGAATTTTACCGAGTATTAAAAAATGTGAACATGATGAACGTGAAAGTTTAAAACTTAAATTTACTGTACCTCTAAACAGTAGTCACAATCACATAAAAAGGACGAGGATAGAAAAACCTCACACGAAAATATTGTATTTGAATATATGCTGTTTCGAGAATTTTACATCACAGTAAAAATTTTGAAACTATAGAATTGATATTGAATTCAGTATCATTTTCATTACATTACACTACAATAAAAATTGATTATGGGAACTGCTGCTAATATACTGCAGAAAGAGGTAAAAGAGAAGAATTTCACCCCTCCAGAGGAATGCCCACAAGTTGGTAACTTACGCAGAAATGAATTTACTGTACAAATCTTCGTCCTCTTTAATGCCAAAAGCAACATAAAGGTTCTTTTTTGCATCTTGAACTGGAAACTCGGCTGAATGAAGCGCTGAGCAGGAAGATGATAATAATCTGTCTCTGTATTCCTTCCGAATTCCCCATAACTTCTCGCTGCAGTCTTTCATGGATGGTCGGGATGGTCTCAAAGGATCGAGGCAGCGACGAGCCAATTTGAGTATGCTCTCCATGGCCACTGTGGATGCAGAAGTCCTCCTCAGTCTAGGGTCCATGGCGATCACAGCTTCTCCTTCTTTAAGCTTCTGCAATGCCTGCATATGCAAGTCCAAATCATGTTATATAAACTCAAATTTCGATAAACACAAACTAAAGACAAGCTGCACAAACCCAAATTTAACAAATGCATTTTCATAATCGCACACACAGATTACACAAACTCATACTTCTCAGGCCTCAGCTTATTAAAACTGTGAGCCTAATAAGCCCGAACGTCTCAAAAGTGAAGGGTATGTTTTGTCTATTGACCCTCTCACTCCTATGTCAACCTATGCCAACCTAAAGCGAGAAAAGGATAAGTAGGTTGATTTAAAAACAAACCCTCTGCCCGTCACAATAAGACAGATGGGGGACGTTTTGCCTTCCTTATGTCAAGGCAAAGCAGAAACTGCTATAGTTCTTTTTCAGCTACTGTACCTATTAGTGCCTAGAAATAAAATTGAGTCGAAACCGCATGATACGGCTCATTATTGTAAATACGCTTAATTTTTATTCCTAGATTTTATTTACAGGAAATCTAGTGGCCACAAACATGGCTAGGCCAATGTGCGATTTGATATGATAGAAGTTGTTACCTAACAATGGTCTACGGTAAACAGGAACATGCCGCATGAAGAAGAGTGAGACAAACATCAAACTGGAAAATACATAGGCTTCATGTGATAAGTGTCATATATTCAAACTTAAGAGTGGCAGAGCAAGGTGGATGCAGCTCCTAACATAATTTTCATGTGATGAGTGCTCTTACATTGAAGAGATCAGAAAGGATCAATTTCAAAAATTGAAAAGTTCGGTATGTTTACAATTTTATACATCTAAACTTGAAGTATAAAATCTCTAACTAGCTGAAATGATGTGGAGAGGATTCAATATCGACCGGACAGATGGAATTCTTATACTGTATTTAGAATGAATTTTAGAATAATAAACAGTACTCTTAAGTAACTAAAGGCATTTTGACCAAAAGTGTTTTTCTTTTTTGAAAATCTTAAATAAACAAAAGAGCAATAGTTTGGTAGCTGAGTATTTCGAGGGTATTCGCTCAATCAAGTTGCAGGGTATAAAGGATCAAAATTACGTTTTCCTGCACTTGACTGTCCTGACAGTCGTGAAAGTACCGTTTCAGGTACTTTGACTATTCGCAATCAATAAAATACTTACCCATCTAATAGTTACTCTTTCTTTGATCTCCCTTTTTGTTTCAATTGGGTGTCTTCCTGTCATAAGCTCTACAAGCAACACACCGAAGGAGTATACATCGCTCTTCTCGGTGAGCTGATAAGTCCGTAGGTATTCAGGATCCAAGTATCCTGCTGTTCCTTTAACTTGTGTTGAGATGTGTGTAACATTAGAATCTTCTGCAACCAGGCGCGCAAACCCAAAATCTGCCACTTTTGCCCGTAGTTTCTCCGTGATTAGGATGTTTGAGGCTTTTATATCTCTATGGATTATTGGAGCATCTGTTACAATCAAAATTCAGATCAGATTTCTCTCAGTCTCTACAATAACCTATGGGGTAAACTACACGAGCTAGTTTGTATTTTGAAACGATTCTTTAGGCTCTAGTATGGTAATAGAAATTTCAATTTAATACCACAGATTTATATACAATCTGATACCAGTTTAAGAACGATTTACCCTCCCTAAACTATCCCCACCAAATTCATTTCTATGAAAGCAATCGAATACATTATGAAAACATGTGCATACCATTGTACATGTGAAGGTAGGTGATAGCATGAGCAACGTCAATAGCAATGTCCAGCCGCTCTGCAATCTCAAGGCCGGCTCCTCGCTTGCCTGAATAAGAGAAGCATCCTCATTGACATTTTCTCCTCTAAACATCATTCAGCTAGTCTCAGAATTAATTTCATAAATCCTAATATCTTCCGAGCTAATTTCATACATCCTTATATCTTCATGCAATTGCCATCAATGAAGAAGAGATTGTCATTCAGATAATTCACCAAACACTACTTACCATCGAGATGTTCCCGAAGATTTCCATTCCCAACGTATTCGACAATAATGATCCTCTCATCTCCTTGCTCCAGATAGCCATACAGACGGACCAAATTCAAATGCTCGATCCTTGACAAAGTTTGAATCTCATTCCTGAACTCCGTCTGCAGACGCTTCTCGTGCACATTCTGCCAAAAGTTTCAAATCTGTTAAGCTAATATGCATCATATTGAATTTTGAAGGAAATCAAAACCCTAAATCGCCACCAATCTTAACCGTAAACACCTATTAATGGTTAAGTTAAGGTTAACATCATCGTTCAAATCAAAGTTTCAGCAGTCTTTTCGATTGTCAATTTCAAGTTCGACCTCGAGATGCAGTGCATAACTTTCGGGAATATAAACAACAGTTCGAGTCAGTACTGACATGGGATAGTCAACGATGATGAAGGGAATTGACAGAATTTAGCTTTAACTTTTAACTTTGTACCCTTTTGGCTCGCTTCACGGCAACAAGAGACCCGTCTTTGAGCTTCCCTTTATACACCGTTCCAAATGCTCCGGCCCCAATTACATTCGCAGCAGAGAAATTATCCGTCGCCTTGTAAATTTCTTCAATGGAGAAACCCGCAGATGCGAACAACTCGCTTGGAATGCTAGAGGAGGAACCGTACGAACCATACGAACCACAAGATTTGAAAGGCGACGAACTCCTACCGTAGCTTCCCGTGGAATAAGCTACACACCAAATAACACACAAAATCAGTTTCAGCGTCAATGAGCTCAAGAAACAAAAAACTTCAACAAAACTCACAGGAGTGTTCTCTGCGAGAATTGTTAGTTTCTCTGGCGCCGATCACCGAACGATCCGCAATAACCTTCTTCCGACCGACAAAAATTGATTTGAAGAATCCGGAAACTCGCTTGACAGCGGCTTTCACATAGTTGTACGATACTTCAGATTCTGGATTCCGCTTGTTTAGGGCACCGGAAAGCTGACCAGTCCGGGATTTGGAGCTCTGCGACTGGAATTGAGGGCCGGAAAATTGTTTCTCCTTCATTTGCAGAACCAAAATTCCGCCGATTATCGATGCGGAATTCTGATCATCATTATCTGTTTCCAGAAATTTAAGCAGTTGAATTTATGATTAGATGGAGGCTTTTATTTTTTTAATTTATGAGACTGGGTCAAGCTGAGAAGGAGTAATATTACTTTTTGTAGGGTTAATTTGCTTTGGTTTAAAAATACTGGAAATGCCTAAAAAGTCCATGCTTACGGCAGAGGGTTCTCGGCTTCTGCGCTTGACTTGATCCGGCCGGTCACCGGTTTGCTTCGCCGGCCGCCGCAATTTTCCGTCTCTCTTCCCCTTCCTTTTTAGTTTTACAGTTTTACTCGGTTTCCTCTGTTTTTTACCTCTTTAGTTTTACAGTTATCGGCTCTGTTTTTTACCTTTTTAGTTTTACTCGGCTTCCTCTGTGTTTGGGATTAAATTACGGATATGAGCCTCAACTTTCAAGTGTCTAATGGTCAGGCAAACTTTTACTGAGAGTGGAAAAGATTTAACATTAGAACTATTTTGAGTAAATTAAAGAGAACTTTATTAATTTTATAATTTAAAACGTGTAAATTTGACCAAATTTAAGTCGGTAAATTTATTAGACACTTTTTAAAATTTAAAAGCTTGTTAGATGTAGATTGAAAGTTCGAATTATTAATCATTATTTTAAAAATTAAGATCAACTCACAATTAAACTAGAAAACTAAATTTTAATATTAAATCCATAGAATCGAGTTTGATCTATAATTTATTTATTTTTTAATATGTATTTATAAAAATATCATTACTTAAAGATAAATAATTTTTTATTGGTACTATTTTTGTAATTTGTTCTTGGAAAAATGTTCTCCAAGAAACTATTGTTCCTTATGAACAAAGGGATTGGGGAAGCATTGTGATGATGAATGTTGATGATGGTGGCCTACGATTTTGATTGAAGAAATCTTGTCAGTTGTCATTGTTTGTTGTTTCTCAAGTGCACTTGACTTGTGGTAAACGCAAAATATATATTTTCTTTTTGACAAATGGTAAACAAAATATTTACCAAATATATATATATATATTATAGTACATTTGCCAAATATATATATGGACGCTTTTCTTTTTTTGGAATTAATGGAAGCTTGCTAAACATTAACGACACCATTTAAGATCCATTTTATCTCTTTTTTTAGTCCATTTTGTCATCAATTTTTTAAAGCATTTTGTCATCATTTCATATCTTGAGTAAAATACAAATAATACTACTCTACTTCCAAATTATATTTAAACATTTAAATAGTACTACCACTATCATTTTTTTTGTTTAATATAATACGTGAGAAATTTGAAGTCATTACCTTTCGTTAGAAATAAGTGTTTTTAATCAATTAAATTATGCTTAAATCGATAAAGTTGTTACTAAAAAACTCATGTGGTACTTTTAAGAAATGTTAATTACAAATCCAATAAATTTTTAAATATATTTTATTATTAAATCTGATTGAATTTGGGAGAACATGAAATATAATGTAAAAAAAATGAATTTATTTTTTTGAGCAAACAATTTAAGTGTTCAAAAGGATTTGAATGTCTATGAACTTTTTAAATGGTATATTTATGATATTTATATATTAAAAATTTGATAATAACTCTCAAAGTTTTCAATTTTTTGTCTATTAAATTTGATATTTATGCCACCAAATATCTAGTTAAGAATAAAGACTTGTTACATGTGAAATTATAAATTCAAAAACTTATTTAGAAAAAAAATAAGTAGAGAAACCAAACTAAATGCATTTCAAAACATAGTTAAATCTATGAAGTTAAAGAATAAAGACTTGTCATATGTGAAATTATAAGTTCAAAAAACTTATTTAGAAAAAAATTAAATAGAGAAACCAAAATAGATATATTTTAAAACATATAGATTTAATTTACACAATTCTTGAAAGTTGAATGACAAAATGTATAATTTAATATTCAATTTAAATAAAACACCCGTTTGAAATGGTTTATTTGAAAATTTCAACTAAAATATATATATATATATATATATATATATATATAAAATAGTTATCTTATAACCCAAAGAAATATCAATCAATGAATATAGATAAGAGTGATTTTTTAAAAAATAATAGATATTTTAGGACAAAATAGGAGTTTAGTAGTTACTTAAAACTACCGATGAGTATGGTTAAGGACATATATTTTATAGGTTAAATACAAGTTTAATTCCTAAATGATTAAACTTTCAGAGGTGTTTAATAGTCACCGAATTAAATTAAAAAATGTCTAAGATCTTTAACTTTCAATAGACAATAGATCTTAAAATTTTTTATTTTATGTTCAAGAGATTCTAAATTTTAGATAATATAAAATAGGACAAATATCTCTTAAATATTGAAATTCAATTCAAAGAACCTGTCAGACATAAAATAAAAAATGAAAGATCTATTAAATATTTTTTATGCATCTAAAAGCTAGGGATCTATTATAGAGATCACGAATCTATAGCCACAAATATAGAAGTTTGTAAATCTATTTAACATTTTCTAAAATTCATAAATATCTTAGATGCAAATTAAAAATTAAGGGTTCGTTTGATAACCATTTCGTTATTTATTTTTGGTTTTTAGTTTTTCAAAAACATTTGATAACCAATTTAATTAATTTTTTTTTTTCAAAAACCATTTTGAAATTTTATGAAAATTTAAAAAAAAATAGTTTTCAAAAAACAGGTTTTTTTTTTCAAAATCTCATTTTTCTTCTAATAATCAACTTTTTTTTTCTTTATCACATTTATATCTAAAAAATTTATTTCTCACTCTAAAATTTTTTTATTTCTAAATTTCTCTCTACAAACTTTATTTTTCTCTCTTTAAAATTATCATATTTTGAATATTTATTAATATTTATCTCTCTCCAAATTTTTCTATATATTTTTTTCTAATAGATCAATTTCATTTTTCTGTCTAAAAATTTAATATTTTTTCTAACTTTTTTCTCTCTAAAATTTCATCTTTTATAACATTTCTTTCTATTCGTAATCTATTTTTTTCTCTAATTTTATTTTCTCGTTCAATTTTATTTGACTGTAACTTTTATTTATCTTTGTATTTATTTATTTTCTCTAAAAAATTTATTTTGAATATTGCTTTTATCTCTGAATTTGTTTCTACTATAATTTTTCTCTTTCTTTATAATTTTTTTTCTTTAACATATTTTTTTTCTTTAACATATCTTTTCCTCTCCACTTTATTTTTTTTCTCTACAATTTTTCTCTTTTTGTTTTAACTTTTCTTTCACTATTTTTTTTTCTAAATTTTTTTATTTATCTCTCTAAAATTTATCTTTCAAAAGTTTTTTTTTTCGGAAAGCTTCAAAAGTTTATTTACATCCCTCTAAATTTATATTTTTCATGTATGTACATTAGGGGGAAGACAAAAAGTTTCTACAGGTCGTGTCCCAAAATTAGGAAATACATGTCTTGTTCCCGATTCTATTTTTAAATAATTAATATATATTTATTACACTTTTTTTATACTTAAATTCTTAAAATAATTATAACCAATGGTTACAGAACATGTTTTGGTTTTCTGTTTTTTAAAAATAAAAAACAAAAAATGGCTATCAAACCTATATGATTTTTGTTTTTTAAAAACAGAAAACCAAAAATTAGAAAGAAGAAAAACTAAAAACTAAAATGATTATCAAACGACCTTAAAAGATTTAACTTGCCATTTGAGTTTGAACTTTAAATTATGTTCAATAGATTCACTCTAAAATTTTCCAGTATAATCAGGTGGCGGCCAAGATGGCGAATCAGATCATATTAGTATGGTGTTGGAGAAAAAAAAAAGGAATTATAAAAATAGCACAAAAAAAAAACTATGTATTTATATATATAAATATAGCATTAAGTTTTAAGATTTACAAAAATAGCATAATTTAGGAAACTTATATAACATGAGACAAATCAAATGCTATTTTTGTGATATTTTTGAGAAAAAAAAAAGTAGTAATATTTTTATAAATAATATTTATTTTATGAAATTTATAATTTCTCGTAAAGAAAATATTTGTACGATATGTAAAATGGCAGGCGGCCAAATTAAAAATAGTCTCCAGTTTCACAGTTTACTTTTACTTGCTCGTATGCTGAACAACGAGTGCCGCCCTTCTGCAACTATCTCTCCGGTCGTTTTGTTTTTGATAAGAACACTGGTTCCAGAATAGCGCCCTTTCTGCCCTAAAAGCTTCGAGATTATTTCCAATTCATCCTGCAATTAGATTTACATTTCGAATTTAATTTACAGAAAATCTTCGAATTCTTCTTGTTTGTGTTTATGGCCACATGAATCTGGGAGGTAAAAGAGAGCAGTACGTACTCCGACAGCGGCAGTCGAAAGATATGAGATCGACATGTCGACAGAAACCGGCTCCGGCAGGGCCTCGTCGTAGATTACGGAGGAACCGACTTCATCGACTAGGTTTGCGATAGCACCCGAAGCCAATTTTCCCGATCGATCCTGAAACGACAAATCGAAAGGAAGAGGCGTTGGAAATTAAGGAAAAGAAGAGCCCTCCCCCTCCGATTTCAAACTCAGTTCAACAATACCAAACAGATTTGATCGAGTACTTTGAGAACTTAATTTGGCGATTAAACTCTCCTCTTTTTTCATCGAGTAATTTGATTGCGAAAGAACCGAACTAGAACATCAACCGTTTACGCAGCGTCTTGATTATACTCTAAAAAATTAGGGCAAAGAGAGGTAGTAACGGCAAAAACAGAGAGAAATTGGTCGCAAAATGATCGAACTAAGAACATCAATCGATTTCAAGAATCTAAAAAATTAGGGCAAAGAAAGGAGGAGCGATGGCGGTGGATCTAACGGCAAAAGCAGAGAGAGTTCAGTAATATACTGTGAGGCGCGGGGGGACCTTGAAGGTACAGACGACGAGCCCTGGGTGGACGCGGTCGACTCGGATGCCTCGGAGAGCGAAGAAGGTGAAGAAGCATTTCTCTCCGGCTTTCCTCGGCCGGACGGCGAGTTTCTCTACGGCGTCTGATTCCTCCTTTGTGAGTTCCAGAAGCTGCTTCGTCTTCTCCATGATTTCGCTTTCAGTTCTCGAACGCTCTGATTAATCTTTATCAGAAGAGTTCAGATTTAATGTCTTGACCATTTTTTACATTATATTGTTAAATATTCATATTTAATAGAACATTACAGTTTTTTTTTTTCAGTACAGAATATTACATTTTTTAATGAAAATTATCCGTTTGGGTTCCAAATAAATAATAAAATTTTTAATTAACAATATTTTAGGAGCTAGGTTAGGATACATATTCCTCCCTCCACTATTCATTTATCATAAAAAACAAATTTCATCTTCGAATAAAATGGATACTAATATACTTGACTCATGATCTTAATAATTTTGAGTTCATGAAACTTGAAATTTATAAGATGTCTAATTTGTGTTTGGATTGTACCATATAATAAACTAACAGAAACCACAATTTGTATTATCGCAATGTTTCATTTATATATTATGGTCCATACACTTTTTTTTAGTATAAGTAGTAAATTTTAAATATGAATTTATTAGTCATGGGGATTTATAAAGTCTGTGGAATTCACAAACCCATGATTTTTAATGGAAAAATTTGCACATATCAAACGTCTCTTCTTAATTAACTTCTTTACATAGTATTACACAAATCTAACCCTTTAATTAAATACCATTAAATTATCATAATTTAAAAGGTTCAAATATAGATAAGAAACAAAAAAAAAAAAAATGTAAACATAGGAATCGGCATATAAAAGGCAAATGGATCGGCAAGTGTGAGAGAAGTGGGGTATGCGTTAGAGCAGAAGTGAGAGGAAATGACGAAGGTCTACATTTCATTTCCATTTTTTTATGATACATAATTTCTTTAATATACAGAGGAGGGTGTGATATCCCTACTTTTTTGTTTGTAAAGCAGTGATATTCATACTTGGATCATTCCTCCTCCATGTATTAAAGAAATACCGTATCATAAAAAACTACATAGGATAGATAAAAATGTGATGTACACCGAAGTTTTATAAGTGAAATATAGTAAGAAATTAGGTCCAATACAAAAATTCCTTTGTACGTTTTTTTTATGTCGATACAAATATATGGTAAAATAAAAGGATGTTACTCTGAAGTAAAATGTTCAATCTGTATTTTGTTTTTTAAGTACAATATGTGGCGATAGAACTTACAACTTCTTGAAGATATATATCCATTGGTGCACTATACAGAAAAATATTTGAAGGATGGAAAAAGGGCAGGAAGTCATATTTAATCGTTTTACTTTACATTTTATTGATTATTGTTAAATGAATATATCTTTGATAGAATATTTGATCACAAATATCTGATATGAAAATTCAAATCTACAATCTTTTGAAGACTCGAGATATTTCAACTATTTGGTTATATTTATAATATCTAAATTTATAATCTAAAATGTCATCAGTAATTAACACCTCACCATAGACAGTGACCTATAAAAGCTAAAGAGAAGCTGGTTGAAAATGACGTATGAATCTCGACTATCTTTATATCAATCAACTCAGGCTTTTATTGACTTGATCATTGGAGTGCTCACCTTTCTTTTGGAAGTATTTTTTCATCAGAATTCACAACACGTTTGAGTATTTTTTCCATCAGAATTCACAACACGTTTGAGTGTTAATTTCATACTCAAACAATAAATATCAGTGTGAATCTCAAACATATATTCCAGACTTCAAGTTGGGACTTTTATACAAATTATTTATACTCCACCCAAAGAGGGTTAATAGATGTGAGAGTTAAATTTTAAGGTGATTTTTTCTTTTTAAATGACTTCATTAAACACAACTAAACAACTACACGATAAGAATCCAAATTTATCCTCTTTACCATCTAGAAAAAGAATACAGATAACCATAACATAGGATCCCATATTAGCCACTTCATTTGATCTTCTATCAACATGCAAGAAGGAAATGGACAAATATGAAGATGCAACCCATTGGCTATTGTATCTCTTTGACCCAGGTTGCAACCTTGTTTTTCGACACACTAGCACCGCCTTGAATTGCCTCCAAAGAATTAGATTCAATCAAAATTCTCTCAACATTTATAGTGTGTTTACGAGTGATTTTGGCGTAACCAAAATTATTTTTGTCATTTTGTTAGTAAAATAATATTAATATATTCACTTAAAACTTATTTTAAAATAGTAAAATATTTATTTGTTAACTTATCTAATTTTTACTATTTTTTTTATAATTTTATTAGGAATATCCTCAACATTTTCACGAAGTGAGACCTCGATTTTCATCAACACCAACCTTTATTTCTAAACAAAGTTGTCAAGTTGTTGAGCAATCCGATGACCGGATAGGCAGGTTCCAGACTTGCCACAATCATTTCCTTTCTCCAACCAAAACCCAAAAAGCAAGACGGTCGTAGGTTCCTCTACACATCTCAAGAAGATGCTTCCAATCAAAACCAGACATTTCCCAAATCCACCCTATTTTCACTCTAATTACAAAAACAATGCACTTTTTTTTTAATTATTGATGTTAATTTCTAATTTCAAATTTAACATTTTCTAAAACACAATTATGAGAATACCCTCAATGTTTTTTTGTTCCACTTTAACCTCAATTTTATTGTTATGCAATCTAAATTGACTTAGGACCACGTATATATATTTGTAAGAAGATAACATCTTTTAAAATCATAGATTGAAGTCTAAAATAGATACTATTATAAATAGGTTCATAGCCTGCCTTGTGAATCACTTGTCGGGGTGCACATGTCTCAAAGCTCCGACAAAGTCCCATATTTTTGTAAAGATATGCAATTTTTTGAACGACCTAAATAAGTTCGATTTGATACAAATTCAGAATAAGTACTAATTAAGCTTTGTAGGTAGCAACAGTAGCCCCAACTCATCCCAATTTGGAGTCGAACTCCACCAACTGACTTAGCACCCGTCCAAAAGTTGAGCGTGTGAAACTTCGTGGATATTTAAATAAATAAAAAAAATCTCTGGAGAAAAAGAAAAATAATGGTAATAATAATTGGAATGAAAAACAAGTGATATTATTTTATGTAATATTTATTAAAAAGTGAATATTATTTACGGACGCATGAATGCAATAGAAGCGATTGAAACGCACTCGCGTAGCCATTGCAAACCTAAAGGGGGAGGAGGAGAGCGCTACGGCATTTTCTTATTATTATTAATAATAATTATGTAATTGAGATTTGAGAGAGGGTTTAATCAGGGTTTCTTCGGAGTTTATCTTTTTCTTTTTTCCGTTTCTTCACTCTCCTTTTTGTTTCTGAGTAGCACTTCTTCTTCAGGTTCTCTCTCTCGCTAACGATGCGCCATGAGAGCATTCTACAACTTCAGCCATGAATCTCCATGCCAAGACTGTACCGCATCGCCTCTCAACTTGTCAACGTCATCCTAGCAAACCGGTGACCGGATTCTGCGCCTACTGCCTCCGGGAACGCCTCGCCGGGATTGATCCCGATACGCGCCAGGAAACTCCTCCTCGGAACCAGCATTCTTCGTCGGAGCTCCGCCGCAGTAAATCTTTCTCTGCGGCGAAGCGCGACGCTGGCATCGGGCAACCGGAGGTGCAGCATCGGAAGTCGTGCGATGTTCGCTCTGGGAACAGCTTGTCGGACCTTTTCTGCCGCGAAGACCGGCCGAAATGTCCGAATCAGGAGGTGGAGATCGAGTCCGAGAACTTAGGTTTTGAATTGCGGGAGGTTGCGGCAAATGAGAGACAGTTTAGGGCTTCTGAGGGGGCAATTGGACCGCCTCTGGATACAATCGACGATTTTGCCGGAGGGGAGGCTGAGTTCAAGACGATGAAAGAATTTATAGATCTTGAAATTCGGAGGAAGAAGAATACGGGCCGAGATTTAAGAGAAATTGCAGGGAGTGTCTGGGAAGCGGCTTCAGTCATCAGCAAGAAACTCGGAAAATGGAGGAAAAAGCAGAAAATGAAGAATCTCGGTAACAGTAGTAATGCAGGTACGGTGAAAACAGAGGGTTTCAAGCCAAGAATGCTTGAAACGAGGGAGACTCGTTCCGAGGTTGGAGAATACGGATTGGGAAGAAGGTCTTGTGATACAGATCCAAGATTCTCCGTCGATGCAGGAAGGATGTCGTTGGATGATTCCCGGTATTCGTTCGATGAACCCAGGGCTTCTTGGGATGGGTATTTGATTGGAAGAACTTATCCAAGGCTTGCGCCGATGGTTTCAGTTTTAGAAGAGGTCAAATTCCCTGGCAATGGATTTGAGAATGGTGATCCTCCTGATGAAGCAGAAGGGCCCCTGATGAATGTAGGAGATAAGATCCCTGGTGGATCGGCTCAGACCAAGGATTACTATATGGAATCATTGTCTTCTCTGAGGCGGAGGAAAAGTTTTGATCGTTCAAGTTCGCACAGAAAAGGGGCGTCTGCAGATTTTGATGACTTGAAGTCAATATCAAACGCAAAGGTTTCTCCTGCAACTACAGAGTTGTTCTATGGTGCGAAGGTGTTGATTACAGAGAAAGATTTGAACGACTCTCACTCAAAATCAACCAGAGATGGCGATTTGAGTGGCAGTGAAGTTACTTCCAAAGATTCTGTTCCTGATGCAGCTGGGAGCGATCGGAAGACATTCAAGAAGGCGTACAGATGGCAGAAAGTATTAAAAGTTTTGGGTATGATGCAAAAGCGAAGCGAGAGCAAGTCTGATGATGAGGAAGGCTGTGTTGGAGTAAACTCGGTTGACCGGCCCTTGGCCGAGTCTTGGGAAAAGCTGAGGCGGGTAGCTAACGGAGAAGCAAATTGTTCTGTTAGCCAGAAGCTCATTCGCAGCTATAGCGTAAGCTGTAGAGATCCCAACAAACTGGCTGGGTTCAACGGCGGTAATGATTTGAAACTGAACGGTTTAAGGCGGAGAGACGATCTTACATTGCAGAGGAATCGGAGTGTCAGGTATTCACCAAATAACTTTGACAATGGCTTATTAAGGTTCTACTTGACGCCATTGAGGAGCTACAGCAGAGGCAAACCAGGAAAGAGCAGGCCAAGAAGTTCTCCTTTCAATGTCAAACATGTCACGTAAAAAGGTGCATCACTTCTTCCTTCAAGAAAAGTCTGTACTGTAAACATTATATAAACTAGTTATTCTCATCCCTCTGATAAAACTTATGTTCTTATTACGAGCTGGATAAAGCTTGAAAAATGAAAAATTAATTTCAGTTGTTAATGGCTTATTTGTGTAGAGATTATCCAGATATGAACAACTTCTCTAATACCTTCTTTTTTTAGTATGAGTTGTTAACAAACGGAAAAACAACAAGAACAAAAACTAAATTTAGAGACGGAATAAAGAGGCTGTTTTTTTGGATTATTCTTGAATGAGCTCATATCCATAGTTTCTACATCAATCAGCGAAGGGTTCCAACGGGCCTCTTATACTTGTACCACTTGGCTATGAAAATAAAAGCAATCAAGTTTTTGACACTCAACAGCGCCAAGAGAAAGAAGAAATAATGTATATGGCCGTAGTTCAAATTGTCTGGTATCCATCCAAGCTTCCCATTTTTAGTGCTGACATTGGTCACAATAGTCACAAGTAGAGAGCTCAGGTAGTTTCCAAGTGCAACAGTAGTGAGCGAGAGAGCCGAGCCGAGACTCCTCATGGCATCGGGAGCTTGCTCGTAAAAGAACTCCAACTGGCCAATGAAAGTAAATACTTCTGCACAACCAATGAGAAAATACTGAGGAACTTGCCAGAAGATGGACATGGGCATGTGCTTGAGTTCATAGTAGTTGTGCCTTTTCACTTCTCGGAGCCTCACGAGTTCTAAGATCGCTGCAGATAGCATAGCTAGAATTGAAATAAGCAGGCCAATGCCCATTCTCTGCAGTTGAGTTATGCCATTCGGGTGGCCAGTGTATTTTCGAGCCACTGGAACTATGATTCGATCATAAACCGGGACCCAAAAGATCACACTCAGTGTGTCAAAGATTGAGAGAGATGCAGCTGGGATTTCAAAGTTGGGGCCAAGATGAATATTCATTCTGTCACCCTGCAACACAAATAAATTGCCCATTTGACTATACACAGCAGCGAACACGATACCGGTGGCCCATACTGGAAGCAACCTTATGATGGCTTTTAGCTCCTCTACTTGAGTGACAGTGCAAAGCTTCCATGGGTCTACTGAGCCCTTCAACATCTGATCTGATTCTAGCTCCACTGCTGCCTTGTCAAAGAACCTGAAAAATACAACAGAATTTGGCACAAAAAGAAGATGATACATAATGACTCGTTTCTTACATGTAGTTTTTGATGTAGCAAGTCTAGATATTGAAGTTTTATCCTTTTCAGCCTAGATGGATACACTACGAAGCGCTTTGAGACAGGGTTTACGGTCTTAAAAGCAAACCTGAAATCATCGGTGTGGTCGAGTTTGCGGCTTCCTACTATAGAAGACTCAGAATCAGCAGTCTCGTACAGAGACTTGCTTTCTGGTACTTTGACCTTGTATTTTCTAAAAGATGACACCAGGACCTGACTTATGCGGGTAAAAGGACTTCCTCCAGGTTTCTGGTTCCGATACAGTCGAGTGCCCGAAAAGAAACTCAACACAGCAATCGCCATAGCCACTGCTGGAATACCAAATCCCCACCCCCAACTCACATTATCTTGCACCCAAACCAGCACAGAACTTGCAATAAGAGCCCCAACATTGATTGAAAGATAGAACCAATTGAAGAAAGAGCTCTTGTGCCTCTTCTCAGTCTCATTAGCATCATCAAACTGATCCGCTCCATAAGACGAAACACAAGGCTTAATCCCACCGGTCCCCAATGCAATCAGGTACAATGCCACAAAACACACCGCACTTTGAGCATTCGTTGCATAACAATCATCTTTCGCGACGCAGGTGGGCTTTAGGCCAGGGACTGATGCTGACAACGTCAAAAGTGTCATCCCCTGCATATGTATTACACTAAACTTCAAGCTTAATCCTAATAAATCTCTATCTTCTACATAAATTTCTTACAGATACAGAACTCACAATAACATAGAGGATGGAGAAGCTGGCAATGGTGTAATATCTACCCAAATAGGCATCAGCCAGAAAGGCTCCAATCAAGGGGGTAATGTAACAGGTACCACTCCAATTTGACACATTTTTAGAGGCTGTGGCACTGTGCTGATTCAGATGTTTCGTAAAATAAATCACCAGGTTGGAGCTCATTCCATAGTAAGCCAATCTCTCACAAAACTCATTTCCTATTCAAGATTCAGCACCAGTTTATGTTATGTTATGAGCAGATATTCAGAATCATTAGTTGAATCCCTATTTTGGAAACTCATCAATCAAATTTTTCAGCACAGGAAAATTACCCAAAATATAGGGGCAGGCTCTCCAGGTTCCCGTTTGGCTCCTAACAGCGGGATTTCCTCGGTAGTCCACTGTTCCATCTTGCGTGTAGATACTGTCTTCTTCCTCCATGGTTGGACTTCAGAAACTTCAACTTCAGCAGCCGAATCTCCAACAACCTGACAGTTCAACAAAGTTTCGGAAACAGAAAACGAAGAAGAAGGAGAGAATCGCTTCCCATTTCGAAGATCGAAGCAGATTTGGGGGAAAAGAACATACCTAACAACGAGAGAATCGCATCCAGAACCAGGTAATTTTAGCAATTGCGATTTGGTATGGAAGATAATGAGTAGTAATCTTACTCTGACAGAGTCCACGCGTTGAAAATTGTGAAATGGGAAAACGCAAAGTGGTGGTGGTGGTGGGACCTGCAAATCACATCAAGGAGGACTCCATTAAAAAGTCCCTTGAAGAAGAAGAAGAACAGCGAGGATTCCTTGCAATTGGCGGCGATGGTAAAACGGGGATGGCGTGAAAAATCAAACAAAGGGATTGAGAGAGAAGTTTTGTTGGGATTTGGACGTCCGCATCGGCGTGGAAACGATTTGCTGTTTGAGATGGTGACAATTTGATAATGTTTGTGTTCCCATTTGCAGAAAGAAAAATGGCTGCCAAAGGCAAAGCCATTGGATTAACGCCTAACGGTAATGCTTGGACAATAATGGACTTTGGAGAATATAGAGACTAAAATTGACGATGAATTCAATTATTAATTTTTTTTTAAGTACATAGCAAAATCAAATAAACGACTTGGATTATATATCCAAAAAGATCCGTTCTTGGCTATTCCACAGGCGGTAGGAAGATACTACTTAATTCTTTCCATTCATTCCCAAGGAAAAACACATTTCGGGATAGATAAGTATGTTGGGTGTTCGAGACTCTCGAATATTGTTGTCTTCTTACGTGAATTGTCTTTTCTTTTTTTTTTTTTGAGAAACATGAATTACTTAATTATATAAACATCGTAACTATTGATCAGATTTTGTACCACTTTGGAATCGATTTTAGTCCAAATAGATCGGATTCTAGCTTCAAAAATAATTCTAGACGATAATATATTGTTGGTTCAAACAATATGATGTGTTACTATTACTACTAAAAAATATATATAGTTTATCACTAATATAATTTATCATTGATATGTCTATTAAAGTAAGAAAGATAATTGTGTAAACAAATCTAAATAGGGGTGTCAGAAATTTTAAACAAAATTGCCACCCGTTCAAAATTTCCCATAATTAATGTGTCAATTACTCAAATATTGCAAAATTATTATTAAAAAAAAAGTTACTCAAATATTCAACTGGCTCTCTCTCTCTCTCTCTCTCCCTCTCTCTCTCTCTTTGTATGCACAATTCAACAAGATATATGAGATTTAAATTTAACAATAAAATAATAACAAAATAAAAGTTGTCAACCATCGTTGATATCGTATCGTCCATGTGACGTTTCCGATTCAAAGTTATCAAAACTACCAGCCTTAAGTCGTAACCGTTTACCAATTAGGTGCGGATTTCTTTTTATATAAATATATTTTTTATCATTTAAATATTAAGAAAATTTATTATAGGTTTGAACGAAATTTTATTATTTAAAAATATTTATTTTTTAGTTTATTAAGTGATGTGTTTGAATGGATTTTAAATTTATCCACGTCGTCTACGAGGTTGATACATGTTATAGAGAGATAAAACAAGATCAAGTTGGGCAACAGAGATCGAAGGAGAACCAAGAGAAGACACGAACTAGGAAAGGGAGTTAGCGCTTGACGACCTGAGCCGGCCCCCGATCGACCAAGTCTCGGGGCCGAGACCTTTTTAGTGTCGAGCTATTCTTGGCTCCCTGGTTGAGAACTCCGATTCAACTCGACCGCTGCGCATTCCCACCCGAATCCATCGTGTCCCGACTCTGGATTTCCTACGGATTCAACTTCTGTGAATCCTAAATCCTAAAAGGATTATGATTCGACTTCTATAATTCCTAAAGAGATTAGGGCTCTGACTTTTATAAATAAGAGGGTGAACCAAATCCCTAGAGGTACATCAAAGTACCATACTCTCTATACTCTATTTCTCCGATTCTGACTTGATCTCGTTGAAAACCAAATTTCTGCTTCAAATAATACAGTAGATGGGTTGGTAGGGATCAAGATGTTCACAAAATTCAGTGACAAAAAAGAAAACAATAATAATACCGATCAACCTGATCCAAACTAATTTAGTTTAGATTGGATTCAAATAAATGAAAATTCTATAGGTTGGGCCGGTTTAAAGATTCACTTAAAATAAATTTTGATTGAATCAAACAAACTCAAACTTATTAAAAATTTAAAAATCACCATAAAACTTATATATATTTACATTGATTTTAATTTTATTTCAATAAATAATTTTTTATGTGCTAGTAATTTTATTATGACTTTTTAAAACCAACTATTTTAGGTTTTGGTGCGTACTTTAACCTAATGAAAGTCAATCCAAATATTTTATGGTTGGATTGCGTCAAGTTTATTATTTAATGAAAATTGTTTGGATCGAATAAATTTACGAACAATAGGTAAAATGGCAACCCAACCTAAAAATCCTTAAAATTGAGCCTTAATGTGAACATTACCTTAAAAGTATGAACACGGGTATGAAAAAAACAAGTGGAAGCTAGCTAAGCCGTTCTTCCAAAGTTAGAATATTCCACAAAGAGAAAAAAAAAATGGATGTCTTTTATTTGGACTTTTATGTTTGAATCTTCTCATTTTAAATTAAAAAAAAAAAAAAGGTATTCATATTAATCATTGAATTCCAAAGTTCTTATCACCTATGTTTTTTTAAGTGCTCGGTTTATGAATGTCGTTTTCAAATTTTATTATATTTCGAAATTTCAAACTTTGGATTCTGCCTTTGCCACGTCAGCTACTAATGGGCTTTTATCCTCTCCAGCCCAATCTAGTTCTAACAAACCATTATGAGTCCGTTGGGCCGAACCAGATTATCTAATGGGCTTTTCCTCCTCTGGCCAGTTAAATAAATCTGATGGTCACACTCACGGCCCATGAGGATCTGAGAATTATAATTCATATTTGAATATGAACATTTTGAAACGATGAATATGAAAATTAATCATTTCTAACCTCGTACTAAAAAAAAAAAAAAAAAATCATCTCTAATCTCAGCAAGAAAATTGGATACGTTTTAGTATATTCGTTATTATTAATTACTCATAAAGCATTCAATTAAAATAAATTGAAAAAATCTCCTCACCATGAATTCCCAAAGTTACGGTGAGAATATTTATTAAAAAAAAAAAGTTATGGGGAGAATTACAATTCTTTGCATAATCATAAATAAATAAGAAATTCTCTCTAGATAAAATTTAGACCACCAATATTTTACAAATGTCCATTTGTTATAAACATTTACAATTATTTCCAAATTTGAAGGAAGATTTTTTTGTTACCAAAATACCCTCCTAAAATTCTCCCACCACATTTATTATGTAATTTTAATTTATATTTTCTTACTAATTTGATTTTCGTTGAAAGTTAATATATTTATTAATGATTAGATTTGAAATTTGTAATCTTTATTAATTATGTAATATACTTAATTAATAAATTAATGACAATTAATCCCTTACATTTCTATATTAACTCATTTTCTCTCCATTTCTATTTGCAGCAAACAATTTTTTTAGATTATGGATTTTAGACTCCTCTGGCAAACATTACCAACACGAACGACCACAAGTTTTACATTAAGCCTCTTTCTAAATCGATGCTAGATAAAAGTAAATTTCTTTTATAATTTGAACAATTTAAAAATTAAGATCTTCAAATAACGGCCTACTCATGTAATTATCCTAAATAAGTAGGTTGTTCCTCGTCATCATACTATTATAAATGTCATCCGAATCTTAGATGTTAGATTAGTATTATGAGATCAATATTTCAACCAAAATTTTAATAAATCAAATTATTCATTCGCTCAGTGATAACTGACACCTTCTTATGATCATCTTTTTCTTATCGGAAAGTTTAATCCCCTCATTATCACAATTAGCAATTTATTTCTAAAAATGTTAATGATCCTTTATCGATCCATATAAAATTTTGGTGATATTTATAATCCATCATCAAATATTAATAGATTGGGAAATTCAAAATTAAAGCTAGCTCAAAAAAAAAAAGGAAAAAGAATAATGGAATTTATAATAATAGTCATTAAAACCGCCAGGTGGAGTCCCACACGTGGGGGGAGGCTAAGAGAAGTGGAAGTAGCACGCGCGCACGTGGGAGGAGTCGATCACACGCTTTCCGGTATGCCTTTGAAATCTGAATCACATTTTGTCCAGCTTTTAAAAAATGGAAAGCCAAAGGGGGGAATCTTTCCTTAAATGGAAAGGGCCCACATGCCATTTTATTAAATGTCTTTATTTTCAATAATATAATATATTTTCTAAAAACTGACTCGTATAATAATAATTTTTAAATAGCATTTGAATTCCACCAACATTTCCAATTAAATACGCTCTTCTCCCATTTTACCCCTTTGATACACCCAATAGACACATGGGTCCCACTCACAACCCCCAAGAAAAACTCCAGATAATAATAAAAAATATATATATTTCATCTTTTTTTTAAGAGAAAAATATGTATTTCAAATTTTCAGGATAAAAATTATAATTCATTCAAATATTGACTTCCTTTGATACATATTAGTTTATAACATTTGGTAGAAGAAAATATAATTTGGTCCAAAATGCGATTAAACCAAAAGTCGGATTGATTTGAAAAATGGCTTCTAGAATTAACATTATGAAATACGGGTTATAACGAAGGCATGGGTCTAGCTAACTAGTAAAAAATTGATTGCCTCAATTCTGTCAATCTTTTAAAAATAAATATTTAGACGTAACGTTCGTTTAAAGAGATAAAATGTTTGAGGTAAAGTAGCATATTCTCTTTGCAAATTTGCGCAATAGTGATTATTTTTACCTTTATTATTTTTACTTTTATTATATAATTCAAATAGACAAAATTTGGTATATATAAATTCTGACCTCTAAGCTCCATCATCTTAATTATTATCAAACAATTTTGCTATTTTTAGCTTCAAATTCTACCATTGCACTATGAGTTTTAATTTTTTTTTATTGAACATCATTTTAAATAAGTAAGGTCAATATCACATCTAAATTTAATTTATTGTTTTAATATTCACTCAATCAAATGAAATCAGTGAATTTTTATCGGATAAGTTTGTCTTTTAAAACAATATTTGAATTGTATTCAAATTATGTAACCTACAAAGTGAAAATTTTTACAAATAACATTTAAATATTTTAAATATTTTCGGATTGTAGGTGTGTTAGCTACCGAAAACATGGAATAATACAACTCCTTTTTTTTTTTTATTAAACCCATTGTTTTCTTAGTTCCTAGTTTTGGATCGCCAATGCTCCTCATACGTTTTTCCTTTTAATTACTTCTAAAAAATAAAAGAACATGTACCGCTAATAACCGTTCCAAATATAGAGCGGGATCCACTCGTATATTCAATTACACTATAATCATAGCTTGTGACGATTGGTTAGATAACTAAATAAATGAAAAGTAACCAAAAAATGGATTAGGTTTTAGGTTATGTTGATTTAGATTTAGTTCAAAGAACAAAGAGACAAAGCCATAAACCAACTTGGAGAAGAATATTG